CACACACACACACACACACACACATACACACACACATACATAAAGAGGTATGTTTATAAATAAGCAAATACACAAGACAGTAAATTTAAAAGAAACCTGGCAGAGAGTTTCAAGAGCCAGCTTTACATCAGATTCGTGGACCATAGAGAGCTCACGGATTCGCTTCTCTTCCCATGAAAAAGCCTCCGCGATGGGAGTTTCCAAATTTTTAGCGATATTTTCTAAACAATCGTCACGGATGCTTGCGAGACCTATGTCAGCAGTCTGCATGCACCGATCTCGAAGCTTTCCTACTTCTACGGTCAAGTGCAGTAAGTCACGAAAGCGTACAACTTTGGTCAGCCTACATCGTAAAAGTTCTGCCTCGTGATAGATACTCTGTAACTTCTTGATGATATGTATCTTCTGTTGCCAAATCCCTTCCAACTGAACTCGCTGATGTTTGCATTCCTCATCATACACATCTTCCGAAAAAATTTCCAAACGATTGTCGATCTCCGCGATAGCATCACACCAAGCACTTACATCCCTCCACTTTTCCACAATATTTGTCAAAAGCTTGCGCTTGTCTCTCAACAACTTTGCAACCAGCGCAGTCTGAAACCGAATTCTACATGTGCATACTAGTAATAATGTTGACATAATAGAAGATGGAAGATGAAAACACTCATCTCTTCATAATTATATGCTAAAGAAGGATATTGTCTTTTCAAATATTAATATCACCAATCTAGAAAAATTTTGTATCATAGCACCGTGCTTTAAATCTCTCTTGTATATCTGCACTTTTCTATGTAAACAACCATTTACATTTATCAGTAATGATTTATAAAAGCGCACGGTTTCATTTCGAAGCAGAAAGACACGTATTTTCCTTATACAAGAGAGAAACTCTCGGTTATCAAAATTACAATCTGATATTGGAATATGAATTAATGTTTTGCTTTGGGGATTATTTTATTTCAAACGAGTACTAAGCAAATTGTAGAAATAGAAATATGCTAATAGATTTGTTGCTAAATTGTCTGCTCTATTAAACACTATTTCACACTAATATAAGCGGATAATCAATCTGAAAGGTTTCGAATATGTATGTAATTTGTTTACTTCCTACTTTCTTATTGAATCTGAGAAGTAGAGAAGCTTTGATCAATCTGATAAGTACGAAAAAACATAATTTGGTAGCCAAATATATAGCGTATAAATCAAAGTTACCTGATTTGTGGATGGCCCACACACAAAAGATTTACTTCTCCTTTCCTGCAAAAAGAAGATTGATAATTAAAACTTGAACATCTGAATCTACATCAGCTAAAAGATCTTCTATTAAATGACAACACAACAGTTATCAAAACAGTATGAAAAATGCATGAATTTGCGTGAAAGCAATCATCAAACATAATTTATTGGCATTTATATTCAAATCGAATTAAAGTATGCAAAAAAATACAAAGTTTCATAATTCAATTTATGCTGTATTTTACTACTGCATGCTTTTCTAGTAATTCAAAAATTTCAAACTATTACGTCTGATAGCGTGAGGAAATGAATAAGTCAAGTGAAAATGACTTCATTCACTTCAATAAGGAAACGAAAAATAAATTACTTGATATTACACTATACGATCTATTTCTTTCAAAAACTTTCCACTTCATCGCTAAATACTTCGTATCAGACCAAAAACTTAATCGCATTAAAGTGGTATGCTTGAAAAGAGCAATGAAAAATCATTGATAGGATTTGCAAACCTCTATTCGATGCTTCAATTCATCAAGTTTACATCGCATACTATCGCAATTAATCCAAGAACTGTATTCATTTCGAGAAAAAGTCTCCAACAAAAATACCAAGTGATTAATAATTTCAGATTTCTTCTCGTCTTCTTGATAGTGATTACCCTTAATCGCAAAAAAATTTTATATGAAATTAAAACTTCATTTTAAAGACTGAAATCGAAAGATTACGATGAAAAATGGTCATATATGAAAAGAAGCAAAAATTCTACTTCTGCATTGAGCCAGGATGAAAAATTGTCGTAATGTTTGTAAAATGATAGAAATAGAGGTCGAACACTTTTTATCTGCTGCATTCTAACTAGCAAGTCGGAACGTAACTTGCGATATTCATCAGCCTGTTCGCTGTTTACGTTGCGTATTTTCAGCAACACAAGTCGTTCTCTTTCCACTGATTGCAATTCTCGCTGGCAATTCTACATTCACATGCAGATGAACGATAAGCAACTTCATTTGTCAATTATACATCATAATTTTTAGCTCGTTGAAATGAAATTTGTTCTCTCTACTTGTCTTACTTTCAAATTTTACATTTGTACCCAAAAAGTTCCATATTTTCATGTGTGAGATAGTTCACCTTTTGTATTAATCATACTGAAAAGTGCTAACCATCATTTCATTCATTGTTTTTTCCAAACTATTTACATCAGTAATGACGTGTGACAGCAACTTCCGTGCGGTAAAGAGCCATTTTTGAAGACGAACAAGTTCTGGGTCTTGTCCACTTGCAGTTGTTGCTGTTAAACTTTCCTCAACCGGTAATGCCATCTTCATTAGTTTTGCTGGTGAAGCTTCTTCCAAAATAGAAGTTTGCTTCTGAAAATGGTTATAGAAGTATGAAATTAAAAGAGCCACATGATAATATTAACGTTAAAGACTATTTGAAATGAGTGCTTAAACCATTTCCAATAAAAAATTTGAGTATTCAAGTGATATAAACCTTAAATCTGTGGTCTAACTGCTAAAATACACTTTCTAACTGAAACCATCTTGAAACTAAAAGTTTCGAAACGAAATTTTTTAAATCCTATAACATAAAAGTAACACACGCCATTTTTAATTTTTTGCAATTATCAAATTCAAAGGGGTTTGACAAATATCAATATAAAGATAAATTAAGTGATTAAGACAAGTTCAATATTGATTACTAAATGCTCACTTTCTCCCGATCATCCAGACGTTTACGCAAATCGGAAAGACGATCCTTGGCAACCGTCTGCGCTCGATGACTAGCAATACTCGCAATACCATCAAAAGCTTTTTCGCAGCAACGCAACAATTCCTTGTCAGTTTTATCAATGACAAAATGTCTATCACGTTCCGAGCGTGCAATTCGCTCTTCAATCTAGAACGAGTAATAATATTTGAAATCACAAAGTTCGGTAAAAGTATAAATTTGAAGAAATTCACAATTTTAATTCCTTAATTTAAAAGAATTAACTGCAAGCATTTCACCAATAATCTAAAGCACTGATGAGAGATACCTTTGCTGCGAAGTTTTCAAATCCTTCCCAAAATATGGCGAGTTCATCTAGATTTGATAGCATCTGTTTGAATTTTTTCACGGCTTCCGCTGATACATCGTGACATTCCTTAATTATGGAATCAAAATCTTCTTCGGAAGCTGAAATTTTGAAACAAAAATTTATTATGAGGAAACTTTAAAAACTTAACACGAATTCGGTTAGACTCAGAGTATGAGCAGCTTCTTTTTAAACAAATTTCGTTATATTCCTTAAAGATAAAAAGATTTCCTTAATAGACTGATTACTCAATTTTGTTAACGAAATTTTTTGTTGAAAATTAATATCAATTTTACGATTGGAAAACATCTCATTAACTGAGAAAACAAAGGAAAAAGTTAAAAGAATTTATCAGTCAATTTAAGAGCAAATCAATTTTAAAAATTTCAAAAATGAAGCACGCACTTTTTTTACTGTTTTAAGTAAGACCGCTATCAAATCTAGATGAACTCTAAAAAGTCTAAATTTTAAACTTAATCAAGCACTATATGCTGAAAGACTTTGTGTCGCTTGTTTAACTTCAATCATCAAAGAAAACATAACCTTCATTATAAATTACTCGTAAATGCGTTAGAAGCCCTTCGAATCTTTTTGCTGGAACGCTATCAGCTTCAATCTGCAAAAATATTTTTTAACCAAATTTGATTAACAGAATGATTTCGCAAAGCTTTGATACGGTACAACCACATGCAACATATCCACCAAAACACGTAAAATTATTGGTGAAAGAAAAATTTAAATTTCTGAGCAACAAATTAATCAATGTTGCAATTTCCAATAGTACCTTATATTCTTTGATGGATTTTTGAACTGCAGCAGCAGAATCACTGGATTTCCAGCATTCCATTTTTTGATTTAGAGCTTCTACACTAGAGAGAAGCTGGTAACGCGCTTGCAATCGATGCAAATACTGCAAATGACGTGGCGCATCGACCACAAGTGTATCGAATCGAATGTTTAACGGTTCCAGCACCTCACTGTTAATCTCAAGTTCATCTACTCGTCGACTAAGGTATAAACATTGGAATTGTTTCAATCGCAATGGAAAGTCGGAGAAATGAATCTGTAACACATGAAAACAATGTGTATTAACATATTAAACTGTTTTCCTCTGGATTTCCAACATAAAGTTTGCAAGGTAATATCTATTTTAAACTTCAGTAACCTCATATCGACTGATCGATTTATTGATATTAGATAACGACAGGTGAGAGTCATCTGCACTAATCTCTACTGCATTCCGTAAGATTTGTTCCGCCGCACATAGCCACTGTACCAAGTCAGCTAACTTCTTAGGCATTTCAGTTTTCAAACTGTTATTCCACTCTGACAAAAGATCTTCAATCTTCTTCCAACTATAATTTATTTATGATGGGAACCTTTTCAGAATAATTGAAAAGGTATAGCAATGTTATGATTAAATTACAACCTATACTAAATTTTAAATCTCTGAAATGCAACAGCAGGGCCTCAGCGGCGCTTTTAATTAATCAGATATTAGAAGTGAACTTAATGAACATAATTTACAGTACAATTTAACTAATGTTTCAAAGTAATAATTATGCAGTAAAAATATAATGCTTGTTAATTTGATGGAAGGGATTTTTAAAAATGAAATAAAAATATTTTTTGCATTCAATATGTTTAAAATGAAAGTCAGTTCAATCAATACTCCTTGTAATAAAATGGCTTTTAATTAAAAGAATCAAAACTGCAGCGATGATAGAATTGCTTAAAACAAAGCTGATAACTAATGTTGTAAAAAGCTTTTCAAATAAAACTATAGTATGAAAAATATAACCCAAATATGAAGGCTAACAATTTCAGTTTTTTGATCAGTTTCTATCAGGCTGAGTAACTCCGAGCAATCTATTACAGATAAGTCTATAAGTGCTTTGATATTTTAGTTATGGATAGCAACAATACTGTTGCAAAGTCATAAACTCTCATACTTGAAAAATGCTATTTATAAATTCTCGCAATTTATAGACAAAAAAGAGAATTTTACAACACATATGTCTTCTTTTCCATATGGCATTGTTTATCTTACTCTATTTCAATCCGATTCCATTCGTCTCTTGGAAGTGTATCCGCGTGTTCTCGAATCGAAAAATATACACTTTGATGCTCAAAATATTGCTGTCGTAAAAATGCATAAGTCTAGAATGAAAAAAGCCAAGTTACAGTTTCACATAACAGCAAAAATTTATTGCCTTTCATTTTTATCTATCTAACATGAGAATTTTCTGTAATTTTCAAGAAATAATTTTTACAAAAAATAGTTTTAAAACATAGCTGACCCACAAAAGTTCATTTTTTGTTTCATTTTTTTCGAAATTTTTATTTTTGGTTAAAACCATATTGCCATTTTAGAAAACTATTTCAAATTGTCGGTAGTGCTTCTACGTCATTTGCTTTAAATCTTGCAGTTGACATGCAAAGATTAGTACCTGATACCGTTCATAAAGTGGCCCATGAAAAGATCTTAAAGTATTTAGAGCAACTTCTATCCAAGCAATCAGTGAATGACTTTCTAGTGATGGACTAGTTGTAATTGGTTGCAGATATTTGATCGTGCGAATAAACTGAGATACGTATGTGATCACTGAACGTTTGTCTGGTTTCTCACAAAGCATATCCTCTACATTTAACAATGGTCGTATATGCAAGTATTCTTTAGATAATCGAAAAGCCTGAATATTTTTATGTGATATGCAGTCTACTGCGCAGAAGTCACATAAAAATAAATCATCCCATGCGATACTTTATTAAGAGATTAAAAAGCTACTCCACTACAATTAAAAAATAAATGATTTCAGACTATTCGTATAAACTGAAACTTATCTTACAGACCTGTTCAAGATTATCTTTTGGTGAATTTCGACGAACTAAGCCCATGTCAACCAATTCAGGTCTTACACGATGTATTAAAGCATTAAAAGCAATTCCATCACACCAACTTTTATCCATGTCAGCTAGTTTGATGTTATAAGGCCTGTTTAAAGAATTCTTAAAATTAATAGGTTCTAAAATACATTTTTTCTTCTCGAGTTTCGCGTATGATACTTTCGCAGAACTTACAATTTTATTAGTTTATTGAAATTTTGTGATATACAATACAATTCAATTAATTCTACAACTAGCTTTGAAATTACCCAGCAAGTTGTGCATTCACCCATCGCAATACCACACGATCAACGGGTGCTTTCAGACGACCAACTCTTAATTTGCTGAGGGGACTGCCTCCACCATCGACTTTTGATGTTGACGGGCTTCCAGCAAAATTTAGTTCGAATCCCCACTCTCTTAGAAGCTGAACATTATTCTCGATCTGCAACGACAAAGAATATAAATTTGGAAGAAGAGATTACTGTAACCCGGTCATTTACTCAAATCAAAATTGCTCACTAAAATAAGTTTAATATATATCCCTTTCAAACCTGGAAATGAAGAATCATCTGCCATATAAGTCCACAGATTATACGGGGGTTTCCATCAGCTATATCAGCTGGGTTATTATTAACCAAGTCAAGGCCACGGCGTCGCAAAGCTCCTAAAGCTGTTGTTAAATTGCTTATATGATGCACACGTTTCAACTCTTTTCTTTTGTTAATCGGCTGAAAATTTTTTAAATTCTCTCTGCAATGAATGTAAATATGAAAATGTGATACAAAACAAAATTCACACATCAACTGATCGATTTATGTTTGCTTTCAAACAATATTGTATAATACTGAAGTAAAATTCTGACTAGCAATAAAAAAATTTACTTAATTCTTGTACAAACTGGTTGTTTCAATCACAAAATATTAACAACTTCAAACTGAAATGCAATTCTTCCTTTTATATAAGAAGAGACTGCTTAATACAGTAAGAAAAAAGCTCACCAATATTTCACCAGTAAGAACTTCGATAAGATGGCAAAGCAAAACACCATCTTTGAGATCCTCGAACAAATCTTTCACCAACAAGTCTGATGAACTGTGCTATAATATATTATTTTCGAATAAGTTTCCGCAAAGATTTTCATTAAATAATTAACATTATGTAGGCTTTTGTTATACGCTATAAGATTTTTTACGTATTTTACAATACGTACTTAATATAAACTAAATTTAATACCAAATAGCAAAAAGACGAAATATGGCACCACTAAATGAGAGAATTCCAATTTGGCTTATAGCAATAAATTTTCTTATGCAGCTTAATAATAACTTTAAAATCACAGAAAATTAATGTATCTCATTTGAGTATTTCCATTGTATGAAATATAATATAATAATAGGTTAAAATATTTTATTGTGATTTAGTAAGATATTAATCATTTTAATAGATAAAAATATTGACACATCTAGCAGTTTCTTGTTCTGTAATCTAAAGATATGCAAATCTTCAAAAACAATTTGGATTTGTTTGATTATTATAAAAATTTAATAATTGCAAATAAAATCACTTCAAAATGAAAATTTGCTTGAGAAAGCAGGCTGTAGTATGTGCAAAAACGAAAAATTTGCGCAAAATATATACGAATTATATATGTTTTTACAAGCAAAATGATAAATATTACCATAGTAATTATAATAGTAATTAGCAAGTAAAGAGTGCTTGTCAAAAAATTTTTAGCAAACTGGTAAGGCTAATAAAGAAATTACAAAATATTATACAAATGCTAAAAATAAATCTAAACATTTTTAACTCCGCTGACTTTTACTACATTTAATGCATTGTTCATTTCTATTTAATCCTCTATGATTGTTTTTCTCATTTCCCGCAATGCGAAATCATTTCATTCAAAAACTAAAAATCACGTGAAGATTTTCTAAATTTGCATTTTCACAACTAGCTATTTTTCTTTATTACTCGTTCTCTTTTCTTTTGCAATGCCAAATTAAGGGCTTGATCCTCAATCAACGTTATAATAATATAATGATAATGGGAATATGTAGCTACGAAATTGTGACCTTTGAAATGGATAAGACGGAGTAGGAATGAATGTCATTCTCACAAGGACGATCAAGAAAATTTTGCTCACAGAATTACCAACAAAGAATAGAAAAATTATTCCGATAATTCAACACATTTTACGGCAATTTACCCGTCTGGACTGGCATCAGTCGCGCTAAATTTTACACGCATTGATTTCTAAATCATTATGTCCACTAACTAATTAACCACTAATCAAAGAGACATTGAAATGTAATCTAATTATCACAAAATTTTGTAATTATCCGACAAATCAATAGTATCACAGTAATATGCTTACTATTTCAGCTATATTTTTATTGCTATCACTAACATTATTGCCGATAACACTACTACGAGTATTTATTGATACTAAATTTGAAAATTCTTGTCTCAGATTAGCTCGCAAGACAACTTTAATATATTGCGGATGCTCGTCGAGCATAAGATACTTCATTTCTTTTCATACACCAAATAAAATTGAAGCATACAAAAATTTCGTTGAAACAAGAAAAGAAATATGCATAGTCTATTCCTATATCCAACTGAGCATGCAAAACAAATTTGACCTCATCTATCTGCTCATTGTATTTTCATCAATTCTTATTATTTTCACATGTAACTATTCAGAATTTTTCATTATAAAGGTAACTTTTTTCTGACACATTATGTAAATCAAAATCTAATTTTATAATTCAGTATATCCAGCTCAATATCGACAATGATTGAAATCTCTGCAAGTCACAGTTGAATTAAAAGTTATTTTTAAATTTGGTTTCAATAAACTACTTAAAAAAGCATTGGATACAAAAGCAACCACTGACTGTTTCCAGATGATAATTGATCCACTTGGTGAATGTGCTGATTTGTGCTCGATCGAGTTCGTCTGAAACTCGATGTAAGCCAGCTAGTTTATAGTCATATTCATCATCCATTTCCATTATTTTTTATGCAAGTAATGATTTTTTCAGTTTGAAATAAAATTATGCTGATTTTTTTCTCTACTGCTCAAGGGTCAAATTAGCATTTTTCTCAAATTGCATAGCAAACATCAGAGATCTCGCCAATATTTTAGTTTTAAATTGAATTAAAAATTTACTGACAACTACAAGTTTTTTTCAGCACTAAATCAAGTAAGAATATAGAAAACAGTAAAATAAGCTGCAATTTGATTATTTACGCCCAATCTGTTTAGAATGAAATTATGAATGAAAAGCAAAGACGAAAATTTCGAGAATTTTACTAAAAAAATATTGCAGCAATAGTAAAATAAGAAACTTTAGTAGAGAATTAAGCGTGACTTGACATGATCTGAAGCAAGATAATAAAGACCAGAAAAGAGTACAGCTGGATGGATGTTGTAAAATCAGTGTACAATAATAAATAACGTGAATCAAGAATACAATGATTCCTCATTCATTTGCGTTTCAGCAAAGAAAGAAAGCATTGCGTGATAACAGAAGGATGATGCGTATTCACTGCAAACGTTGCTTGCCTTCCATGAATCACTCATTACTTCGTTCCTAACCACTTCTGTTTACTGAAGGGAAAGTGCATATAGAGTTCGCCACAGTTAGTAATTACCTTCCAAAGAAATTTGTTTTAGATATTACGTAAAAACTGTATTACAGCCTATACAAAGCAATACGATAATTACAAGAAATGAAGGATTAATAAAAGTTTATTTAGGCTATAAATGTCTCCATTTTATCACGTAATTACATCATTAGTTCATTAAGCAATGAAACTAATATCTATGATTAGAAACCAGGCAAAATTTATACGATATGAACAACTCTCATAAAAGATAAAATTCCAATACTACACTTGGTTTTATTTTATTGGGCGCAGATAGAACATGAGTGTTAACGGTGGTTTTTGTTGAAGTAGGAAAGAGTGAGACATCATTTTGATTACAGAGACAAAATGAAATGACAAGGGTTAAGCAACTGCTCTATTAAATATTTTATCTTTTTACAAAGATATTATCAAGCATGAAAAAGGAATAACTGCAGATCTGAGAGACAGTAACAGAGAATGTCAAAAGACTGAGGAATTAGGGCATATGATTAAACATATTTAAGCATCAAAGTCATAATCCAGCATAATAAATGTGTATACATATATATCGAATGCTATTACAAATTATATACATTACTTACATCAATTACGACAATACTGTTATTTTTAAAAGAAAGTTATTAAATAACTCAAAAAAAAGGAAGAGCTTACGTCTAAAAAACGTGAAGCAACCACAGCATGCTGCGGATACGGACATGGATTTATCCTGTAAAAACAATGAATTCAAAAGAGCAAGTAAGCATGCTCTAGCAAATAACTATAAAACGAAACTCACATTCCCTGTTTCTGTTCTCAAATGAGTTATCTACAACATGTGAAGACACTGGTATATAAATACATATTTCTAACAGTTAAAATGGAACACAAAGAGATACAAATACAGGAGCATGCATACATATCACGCCTATGATTACAGCAATAATGCACGCCTATACTGAAATTTACAAGTAAAGATCTCTAATACCTAATTCTAAATTCACTAAAGTGAAGTCAGTGTTTATATCTAGTTGAAACTGCCTAATCAGACGTAAGTTACTACATCGTTGCGTATACCTTCCAATATTTTACATAAACAAAATATGAAACTAGCTCACAGATAAGCCTTCACAGTGCTTTTAGCATTTTGATATAAAAGCTTTTTCTTAAACATATATGCACGTTTGAGATGAAATGTTTGCACTGATCGTTAAAAAAATGATTGATAGGAACGTGGAAAAGGAACAGCTTTAAACTGAAAATAAAAAAGGAAAAACAGATGGCATTAAAGAGCACTTACATTATCATAGAAGGAAAAGCACTTGATGGATGTTTAGGGAACATTTTTGAAAACAGGAAATTAGGAGAAAATATTTTGATACTTTTTTACTAATTAATAATTATAAAATTGGTATTACGAGAAATGCAGAACAGCTCTAACTTACTCTTTCCTTTACAGGAATGAAAAATTTGGCATAAGAATAACAAAACGTCAAGAATTTGGTAAAGTTTCCGTCTAATATTTCTACAACATTCTGATATTTATGTAAATATGGAACGTAATCAGAAAGGATGAGTTTCGAGCAGTCATATACGGAAAAGATCGATGAATAAAAGAGTTGATAAGAATAAATTGATAGCGACATAACAATACACGAGGAAAATCACGAATAAATGATAGAAATGGCTGAAACTGTACGAATGCAAGAATTGGACAAATCAGATAGTTTATTTCGACTGTTTGGTACTAATGACAACGAATTAAACTCTTGCTAAATTACTAATGATAATAGAAGAATGCACAAATTATTTGTTTGGGTGGTATTGTTTTTGATGGCTGCGAATGATCAGGAAATACCTGACGCCAACTTTGAAAAATTACAAAAATCTTGCAGAATAATTATTCCTTTTTCCAAACAAATAAAAATAAATAATTAAAAAATGGCACAATTATGATGACGAGATCTCACTCAACGAGCTATCTTTCAAATTAATCTATTCAAATTGGATATTAATAAAAAAGAAATGACAAATCTATTATTTGCCTAATCTTTTGTTCTTGCAACACTTGCAAACTTGCTTTTTCATTACTATAATACTGTAGAAAAATATTAATCAACAAACCTATATCGGATAAAAATCGCTCCGATGATTGCATCGATATGTGCTGCTGAAAAAACTTTATATAAAATTTGCTAAAATTTGCATATATACATATATATATTGTGACAAATCAATCAACACGAAAAATAGAACATGACTTGTAGATAGAAATACATTTGATCAAATGCTAAATTTTGAAATATTAACATGAAATTTATAAAAACATAAAAAATGATACTATTCATATATCGAACAAATTTTTGAATATGTTGAAAAAATTTTCAAGTCAGAGTACAAAACAATAAAATCAATCAGTCATATTTACCACTAAAGCAGAATAATAAATGTATTTTAATTGAAAAACACTCTAATACTATATTCTACTGCTCATAAATACCATTTTAACATGAGTGATATCTTAGAAAGCAGGCGACTAGGAATACAAATCAAACAGTAATAAGCTATGAATTACTGACAAATTTATCATAAGTCATCATCCTTTGATTGCAATTCAAATGCTAACAATCTGATTACAGTTGGTTTTTTTTTTCAAATCAATTTAAGAAGAATATAATTTTGCGGAATGTTTTGAAATTTTGATCTACTAAATGTCTAATAATATTAACTAAATAGTTAGCTGTTTGAGGATCAATTCCACTGAATCAAAACTATTACACTGTGTTTTTATTTATAATCAAAACCATTCTGATAAGTTAACAATGTGTAACTTAGGTGCTGAGTAATTATTATGGCGGAAAAAATGAAAGAAAATCGTTCTCACTAGAAGGAACATTATACATCAAAGTTATAGCAAATTTCCTAAACTGACCTTGACTTTCGATTTTAAAGATGATAAATCAGTTCTTTTTTGAATTACAGATATTTGAAAAATGCCAAAAATTTGTTCAAGTAAATTCTTTTTCTAGAATTTTATTCTAAAATTAATTAATAGACAGTAGTAGAATTAATTCGACCTGCACTTGAGAAAACATAATTAATGCTTTATTACATCTTACAAACATATCAACAAGTAATTTATACACATTATATAGAAATTAGTTAGATAATTTTACTTATGCATATTTTAAAGTTGATAAAATATAATGAACGAAGTTAATTTCAGACGAATCCATGCTTTTCAACGCTTCATTATGTTCGGCATTATTATTAGTCTCATACTGTTTCCGCTAAATTTTTCTCTTATTCACCAAA